AAAGTAGGTTGCTCCTACTGCTGTATCGAAAGTGCAACACATTATTTAAATTTATTTAAAACAGGAAAGTTCAAAAAAAGGATGCCGAATAAAAAGGCATCACCTGGCACGGAACAATTTAATCATATCGTGAAATCCCACCAGGTTCATTTTTATTCAAAAAGTAGCAGCTTCAGATTCACGTCTCAAGTTGTCTACAGTCTGAGAGCCTCTAATAATTCCTCGCTCTCCTGAGGATATAGGATGTGTTAAGGTCACACGAATTCCTGCAAGCATATTGAATCGTATGGCAGGCCGGAGGAGTGAGGAGGCCGGACTGGACGGCTTGCCTCGGTTTCCGTTATCATGGTCATCGATGTTCAGAGAAGTTTACTGTTTCCTTTCCGAAGCAAGCCATTTTAACGATCACCTTGTTTGGTCCTTTTTTCCTAAGATTAAACAGCGAAATAGCCAATTTGGACGTCGATCTCATAAGGCTTCCTGAGACAAACTTCTTCATAGCATTGATATCTTTTGGCAGGAATATATTCAACATTGTCCGCAAACACGGACGGTTACCACTGGAAATTTCCTCTACAAAGGGACGAAGCATGTTCAGCAAGCAACATGAGTGGCGGCAATGTCCACCGATTGATTGGAATTCTACGCATGCGGAAAGCAAAATAAAACCTTCACTGACAAATGCATGAATCCAACTAACTACCAAAACCTACTGGGATGCCATCTGCTGCTGCTGTCCTGTTACTTCGAATCAGGGTTGATTTAATCGGCAATAACATGATAGCTAAACGTGCTAGTTTATTGAACCTACATTTGTAGCCCTATCGCAGCTGTCTGCGGGAGCTCGCTGAAAAAGTAGCGATAGAGGTAAAAACGTAGGTTCAATAAATTAGCACGTTTGTTATCGTGACTTATTCATTATTAGGAGCATTTGAGCGTGCAGGGTTGGAGTTGTCATGATTATGGACGACTTTTTGACGTGCGCATGCACTCACTAATGGTGTCGTTTGGGTTGATAAGTTTTGCTCAATTCTGTCAACTCATTACTGAATAGCAGTTCTCGAGCCCCTGTAAGATAAGCCTGCCAATTAATCTATTGTTTACTAATTATGAGGGAGTCCTTGTTAGCTCGGTTTCATGATATTATTGAGCGGCTGAGGTGCATCTTTACCTCCAATACGGCCCAAGTAGCGGTCAAGCCTTGAAAAACTATCTTTTCGCTCTCCTTCTCCCTAGCCTTTTCCCGCGCAGTCGCAGGGTCCGCTGCTTTGTCAGCCGTCGCCATGTTGTTCTATCCAGGGCATCTTCTGCTGTGGCCCTGACTTCAGTTAGGTCTTGATTACGTCTTTCCACCTCTTCTTTGGGGCTCCTCGCGGTCGCTTGCCTTGCGCTTCGAAGTCCATTGCTGTTCTTATCGGATGATCCTGTGGCCTCCTTAGCACGTGCCCATACCATCGCAGTCGTTGTTCCTTTCGCGCAAGCATTTTTTCTCTAATTTAAACGAAAGCTGGTAGGCAAATGTTTATCGGCGTGCTAATTCTGATGGCGGCACGCATTTTTGATATTAACTTCTCTGAAAATTGATGGCAGTTTTAAGAGTGCGTCTATTCTTACGATCTTACGATCTATTCTTACGATCTCTTATTCTTACGATACGATAATCTTTCAAAAATCTGTCCATAGTGATGGAAGGTGTTGAGATTACAAGTGAAGATGGGCGTGTGTAGCTACGACTAAAGACACAATTATGAAAGAGTCGTGATAGGAACTCGATTGCTGACTGATCAGAATGGAAAGCTTGCTGGTTCCAGACGGAAGTTGAAAATGGTCCAGTGTCCGCGTTGCACAATGACAATCGGTCCAGATGGGCAGCTACGATAGTATCCTCTAAGGTTGTAGATATTTTTTGAGAATGTTTTTATGGATTGTTTCACAATTTCTCATCCGTGCATTAATGACGCATATTATTCAAATAGAGTATTCAAATTTACCATATTCGCATCTCAATAAGGAACTTCGCTCATGCACATTCATAGACGCTTTTCATGAAAACAAATTTTTTTTTTTTTTTCCAGTGAAGGCTGATTACCAATACGTTTCTAGCATAGAATTCCGGCGCTCGTGTAATGCAACTACTATCCGTTTCAGCGATCAAATACTCTCAAAGGAATTTGCTACCAACAAGAAATATAAGCCACCCGAATATACTACGGAAGCCTACGATAAAAACGAGCCAAAAAACAGGTAAACTGCTTTTCGTTATGTTCCATTTAGTATTGTTTATAGAAGTTGATTCCTAGACCACTTGGTTGCCTTAGGCTAGCCTACCATTACAATTTCTAAAAAGAAAAGTCCAGATCTAAGCAAATTTGAAACTTATGAAGTGGAAATTCTTGAGTTTCCGAATTCGTTCCAGAAATTCTCAAGGGCCGAAAGCTTTTGCATGTTCTTATCTTCTTCTTGCAAGCTGTTCGAGACACCAGCGAACGGAAATGAGCCCTTGACGGCAACTTGAAATGATAACGATAACTCGAAATGGGTCAAATGAGTGAATGAGGGCTCGTGCGCTAGATAGCTTACCAAGGCGAGTGATTGTCAGTGGCGCTCTCCGTATTTTAGAGTTTGGTTGATATACTGCTGTTGATAAATTACCAGAATATAACGGCTTTAACAATTATTGTTAGAGCACACCACGTAATTTGGTGAAGCGCTTACAGGAGAAACTTCAGGTACAATGACATTATTTGTATCGATTCAACGCGTGTCATTCTGAAAGACAGACCGTCGGATGATGATTATATTCACGCAAGCTGGATGACAATGCCCGACCAATTTAAGTACATATGCACGCAGGTAAAATAATTCCTGCATAATACGAGATTGTTTGTTCTCGCACGATCCTACAATAGCTTTTTCAAGTTCCAGTGCTTCCACTATGGATAGTGGAAGTGACAGGTGAAATGCTGTCACTTAAATCCAACCTTTCAAGATTGCTTGCCAAAGTTTAATGTTCATTTTTGGAGGATGGATTCAAATGTGATTGAAAATATGATTACTAAAGAGGTGGTGCACTGATAACTCGCAACCGCAAAAGTGTTAGGCGATCTCCTGATTCAACAAATTCCATCGAGTTCACAAGCGTGCGAGAGAGTCCTATACTCTTTCATACAACAAGTTTCGTTTTCCTGCAACAGACAAGGCTTCTCTTTCCCTACGGAAGCTTAGCGTCCCGCTGTGCGCTTTACCACTTGTAAATCGTAGAGGAAACGCTGTGTATAATTCTTGCATATTGAAGGGTCATATCGAAGTCGTGATCACGTTAGAATGGTAGCTCAACCACGGTGTAAGTGCTTATCAATAGGTTAAGACTAGCTAAAACTTAAATTTAGCGGATGGACCATTAAACATACCATCCTACCTACTATAAAGCGCTTCGTCTGTCGTCTGTCGTTCTGTCTGTCGTGTATGTCTGTCACGAAATTCCCTAGCTCCTCGGGATCCGCCTGGAGGGACCGGGTCAAGTGTGGGACGGGTGGGCAAGGTCTCACGAAGTACAAAACACACATCAGCTAAGCGGAGCCCCGCCCACAGTGGGCGTGGCGTGCGTCGAAATGAAGTGTACTGACGACCAGATTTCGAATTCTCTTACAAAACGACCTCGAAACTGGGCCAAAAAGTGGGTAAAGGTGTGCATTGGTAAGTCACATCGAATTAGAGAGAACCACCTCTAGTGGGTGGGCGTTCTCTAAAAAAGCCGTGCTCTATGAAAAATTTCATAACTCGGT